AATAAAAGCACCGTGGATAATTCACTCCCTGGCATTGCTTCCCGTCCACGCCTGAGCGCTTCATCCGGGCCGACATAGTCGGAAACTCCCAACCCGTTAGTGTGAGGCCTTGGACTTGGAACCCGGCCAGAGGAATATGCGCCCGAGGGAATACTTTATGTACTTGTGCCCGACTTTGTCGCGACACGTCGTGTGGGACTCAGTGCCAGCTCCGGAGTTCAGGCGGCTGGGCCGCCAGAACTCCTTCATCGCCAACTAACCGATACCCACTAAAACCCCGGTCTCCCACGTCCAGTCTTTAGGGAGATTCTCCTCGTCCTTCAGGACATTCTTCCAAGTTTTCTTGACTAACTCTTTGTCAATTGCTTTCTTCCCATATTTTATCCCGTTTGTGACTACCCTGCCTTCTGGCTTCATCGCCCATGGCAGCAGATGGACCATCTTTACTGCCACCGGAGCTGGAAAGAGAGATTTTCGAAACATCCGCTCGTTCCCAGTCCCTGTCGATTCTGACGCTGATGCTGGTGGCAAAGCGGGTGAGAGCGTGGTGCGTGGCATCTGAACAGTGGCAGCTTTCAGCGCATTCTGAGATCTTCGCGCGTCAGGGTGGAACCACTATTGTACCGGACCATCGTGTGTTCGCAATCTCGGAATAACGTCCTAGATGGTCAACCCCTTCTCCATCACCGACGATCTGGTCTCCTTCTTGGGGTCGAAATCGATTCCATTCCTGAGTGGAAACGTACGAAACTTGTTGTTGCTCTGGTTAGACAACGTGCAAGCTGAAACCGTGATCTCGGCGTGTCGGGGCGTTGAGGACCTATGGTTTTTGCCCTTTCACGGTACGCAAGGCCCATATCTCCTTCCGCTCATCGGGGAGCTACCCTTGAGGCGACTTGACTGCTATATAACCCACCTCTTCCGCGGGTCGCCACATGTTGATTTCGGCCACCGCATCTTCGCGCAGATAACCCATCTCGAGATATTTGACGACCCTGCGATGGACGGCTATGACCCCCAAATCTTGTGCAACCTCGCCATGATTCCACAGTTGACTCACCTCGCTATTGAAAGCGGAAGGGGTGATTTCATTGACCTGTGGCTCACTCTACTCCACACCTGCAGATCCTTGCGTGTTCTTGTCGTGTTTGTGCATTCGGACCAAAGAACAATACTGGCGTTCCCTCCGCAGCCACTGGAAAAACTGGCCAATGACGCACGGTTCGTGCCAATGGACCAGCAGGATCCTCTGGATTGGCAAATGGGAGTACATACGGGTCACGATTACTGGGCGCGAGCTGAAGACCTCGTTCTCAGACGGAAATTACGAGGGAACCCCCGTGCGTCTGCTTCTCTTCACGCAGTCGGCGGAATATTTAATTGTCCTTCCATTCCCCTTGAATTTCCAGCTTTTCGATTTCACCGGGCCAACGGCAGGAGTGTCATTTGGGTCTACAGCCAGGTCGCCGATGATTTACGAAGTGGGATGTCACAGATGGTGTCCGAGTAATGTGATAATGGCCGAGTTGGACTCGAGAGTTGCTCGAGAGGTCTTGAGACATTCACTGCGTTCCAACCCCCAGTAGACAGAGGGTCTGTCTACTGGGGTAGACACAGGGTAAACAGACCTGTCCAGCTACCTAAGTCTATGATGAGTAGACATACCCAATTTACCTGTGTCTACCCTGTAGATGGGGTACACAGACCCGAGACCAAGGTAGACCAAGGTAGACATAGTCTGGCTGACAAATCCGCTTTAAGGGGAGCTCACAGTGAACCATAAACAAGGTGAGCCCAAATTAGCCTGGCATAGGTGGACAGGGTCAGTGTACCCAGGGAGACTGAGGTAGATGGAGGTAGCCAAAGGCTGTCTACCTAGGGTAGACAGAGGTAGACAGGGGTAGACGGACACTAACATGTGTCTACTCGCCGTGGTAGACAGAGGGTAGACAGAGGTAGACAGAGGTAGACCAAGGTCTGTCTACAGGGGGTGGGAACACAGTGATTATAGTTCGGGCGAAGTCGAACCTCGTATGTTACCTAGCGCCTGCTAGCGCTTGACGTTTGCAGATTTCTTGTGAAGGTTACTTTTTAAAAATTCTATTGGAAGAGATCATCCGTCGGACCCGCTCTCAGTCAGGTAAGTATCAGATATCAGATATCAGACAGAACTCGATCGACCAATCGATACCCCAAATTCAACAAAGGTGGAACTACTATGAATTCTGCAAATTCAGGCCCAGCCCAAATGTTTGATCCGAGATGTACCAGTCTGCCTATGGCAAAGTGCTCGCCACTTAAAATTGCCATCTTTAGAGCAGACTGGTTGCGAGTCTAGGAAAGTACACCCGGAGAGGCGAGGAGCGGTTCTGGAGAAGTGGTCAGTAAGGGAAAAAAGGTGGTACTCGGACTGGATACATTCGGACGCTGGGAATCGAACCCAGTTCTTCTGCATTATTGTTATCAGCGTTCCCACTTGAAGAGTGTGCACCATGCACCACGTCCGTTTGTTTCCTGTGGATGTGAACCCGGCCGGGTGGTCCTCGCTTCGGTTGTACAAGCGCGGAAGAAATGACGGGTCACGGTGAGCCTAACAAAAATACATCCTCGGTGCGCTTGTTTGTGGTTGAAGGTATCGGCCACACTGATATTCGAGGCGTCAGAACAAAGAAATGAAATAATTCTGTAAAAATGCGGGCGTCTACTGCATTCGGACATTAGGACACACATGAAGGGCGGGCGTACGTCGACGTACCACGTCCAAATATTTGGTATCGATGTGAACCTAGCTGGGTGAGATCTATTTCGGTTGCATACTGTATTGCGAAAGAAAAGATGAGTGAGCGCACGGAAAACATTTCCGGCCTGCGCTGGTCCGGTTCGAATGCACCAGAGGGAGGAAGTTGAACACTGGGCGGACGGCAGGAAAAAATGTTGGATGAACACGAAGAGGGTGCGCAGGGGGAAAATGGATTCGTTCACCATTCGGACGCTGGGAGTCGAACCCAGTTCTCCTGCATTTAGGGAATTCATAAGAGTGTATAAGATATGTGCATGCTGCGCTGACCTACTGGTTCGAGCTCAATCACTTCGATGCATCAGAGGAACATAGGGAGGCGAGAAAAAAATGTTGGATGAACACGGAGAGGGGAAAAGCATGTTCGAGGTTTACCGCGAAGAGGGAAAAAGTCAAGTCAAGGATTTCCTCCATTCGGACGCTGGGAATCGAACCAAGTTCTCCTGCATTCAGAGGAGGGTGTTACGATACGAAGAGCGGGTGTGCACCACGCAACACGTCCGATTATTTTCACGGATGCGAACGGCATTAGGTAAGATGTATTTCAGCGGTACCCCGTGTGCTGGACGGGCTCACCAAGGATATTTGCGTCGAGGGCTTGCAGGCGCAGTTCATGATCAGCTAAAATAAATTTTCAGGGCGCTAGAGTAACGTTAGAGCAAATAAATGAGACCGTGTAGGGTTGTACTTGTTGTTCTCGGGTTCTCGAAGGGAAAAAGATCATAATCATACCCTCGTATTCGGACGCTGGGAGTCGAACCCGCCTAATTTCGTTCGCAACCGTTGCCCTGCAGTAGGGGCGGGTGCGCGCCACGCACCACATCCGAGCTATGTCATCGTAGATAAGAGGGTGTGCTTACTGTATACCTACAATCAACAAGTTCAACCTTGACTTGAACCTCGACTTGGAGGCTTCCGTGAGAAATTACATTGAAGTCATGGCAGCATTGGATCACGAGCAAGGCCCCCGAAAGAAGACTTGATCGCGTCACGCATTCGGACCCTGGCAATCGAACCCAGCTCTCCTCGCCCTCTTCAAAGTGTAAGGGGAGCGGGTGTGCGCCATGCACCACGTCCGATTATTTTACCGTGTATGGAACCTGCCTGGGTGGGATCAATGAATGTTATATAATTCTTTACAAGCGAGCGCAAGGACGGAGCAGCTCACCAAGAATATATCCGGCATACTTGAGGGTGCGACCCCAACCACACCTGATCCGTCGATTAAGGGAAATTACAACCAGAGAGGCGAGGAGCGGTTCTGGAGAAGTGGTCGGGAAGGGAAAAAAAGTGGTACTCCGTCAAGTACTAGATTGATTCAGACGCTAGGAGTCAAACTCAGTTCTCCCGCCTTTCCCGCATGAAGAGCGGGTGTGCACCATGCACCACCTCCGATCACTTGATATAGACGTGAACCTCGCTGGGTGGGACCGATTTCGGTTTGAGACTGTATAGCGAAATAGATTATGGGTGGACGAACAGAAGATAATTCCGTGCTGCGCTGGTCTGGTTCGAGCTCGATCACTTTGATGCGTCAGGGAGGATGTTGAAACCCGGGCGGCCGGAAAGATGTAGGATGAATACGAAGAGGGCAAGGTAGGTGGTCGTCCGTGAGGCAGACTCGTGAGGGGAAGGAGGAGAGGAAAGGGAAGTGTGTGGGGTTCAGCCGTCCCGACCGACTGAGGGACTTTCCGACGCAGCAGAAAGCAGCGGGGAAGTCAGGGTCGGAACGGGACGGGACCCGGGAACGGCCGACCACCGAGGGTCAGGGAGAAACGAGACCCGCAGCGGCCCGAGCATGAGCGAGAAGACAGAAAGGAAGGGCAAAAGATGCGTGTAGAAGGCTTAGGGAGCTCAGGAAAGAGACCTTGGTGCGAGCAGAAGTCAGTGATAGGTGGCAGTGCGGGAGTGTAGATTAGATTGATACAATCTCAGGCTCCTACCCACCGCACGTTACGGGGTTGGGGAATCTCTGTAGTGGTATTTTACGGCTGAATCTCTGTAGTAAGACCAAAAGACAAATCAATCAAAAAAAGTCATCATATATCTGTCAACTACTTCCGAACTTTCATCTGCCCCAACCCCACCGTGTGCGGTGGGTAGGAGCCTGGTAAAATCTAATCTACACAGGCTCGAGTCCTCTACTGCCTCCCTCTAGCTTGCCTTCCACTCAGAAAAAGAAGGATTCATTCGCAGTGGACGATTCGGACGCTGGGGATTGAACCCAGTTCTCCCGCCTTATTATAACGTACGGGATCCCTTATAAGAAACGGATGTCCACCATGCACCACGTCCGATTATTTACCACTAATGAGAACCTCGCCAAAGAAAAGACAGATGGGTTCACTCAGGATATTTCCGTAGGGTTGGAGTTTGACAAATAGTAGGCGGATCTGATATACACGGTGTGAGTTTATTATGACAAAGGCCCTCCGGGCATCCCTGGTACGTGGAACTTAGATGCGTCCACAATTTCAGGAGGGCGAGCGAGGGGGACCAGCTGGTTGAGGTAACTCCCTTGCCAAACTTTATTCAGGGCCATACTTACATTTTTGAACATGTTGAACATGGGACCCCCAAGGAAGTCATTTTCAATGCCTTGCTATTCACCAAGGACTTTTATGAAGGTGCGCTGGGTGCCCTGAAGTATACACAATAGAAATGTATGCGTACACAGAAAAGCCAACTGAAGAAGAATAGAGCACCACTAGAAAGAAAAAGCCAGAAAAGTGTGCATGCTTTCCATCGCACTCAGTGCTTCAACGATATTGAGGTACACTGAGAAAGGCCTAGAATTACGAGTACTTATGTAATAAGTCCTCGTTCTTTTCTAAAAGTTTACATCGGGTTTTTGCAAGCGACGCGAATCATCAGTTACACTTTTCCAGTAGAAGGAAAATAGTGGCTGTGTTGAAGTCTTTTTCAGAGATTCCATTAGATTTTTTGTGACTATTTAGTGGCTGTGATCTCGGCCAATGCCGAACGTACTTCTGACGTGCACAGGCACTGGTTCGAACCTGCCAAGTGGATTCCTTTTTTCTTCGTCGGTTTTTCACTCATGATCATGAGCAGCCTTATTACCTCTAAATATTTACAGCTCCAAATCATTACAACTAATTTCCTTGTTAGTCACGTCGAAAGGCCGCCAGTCTTACTATTTTTGACATGCTTGCAAGTCTATATCCGCATAGCATTCATCCACACCCCGACAAGCATGACATTGGGGCAGAAATCCGAGGTAGGATACAAACACGTTGATAAGCTGCGAAATTTGCGAAACCTCAAATTTTACGAATGCATGACATTCAGCGCTCATCCAGAGGTTGGCGTGAGCTCCAAACGTGCAACCAAGAGCCATATTGCATTATCATCTTAAACTGGCAATAACAGCTTATTCCTGGAAACTTCACCCTTGGGACACTTGGGGGTTGAATCCGGATTAAGGCTCAAAGTCCATGCATCAAAGTCCTGAAACACCCTCTATACGTGGGAAGGCAAAACAATGCTCACTATCAAAGGGAGAATCATATTATCCACCTCTGGCATGTATTGGCACGCTGGGAACCTTATTCGGGAGGGAAACACCTAGTTGTTTACACGACTTTGGCTTACCCAACACGACGCGATGGGTCACCTGATCTAGGCCTGGACCTACAATTATTACTCCTATACACCGGATCCGCAACAGCGCGATCACCTGATAAGCTGCAGACCGGATTAAGCTTGTACTGCGTGTTTCTGGATACCGATTAAGGGCATATGGGGTATCATTGGAAAGGTATTAAACCATACAATCCAGTCAACGATACTAGAAGTTGAGGCATCTACCACAGAGGAAGATATGGGTCAATTACCCTATTCAGGGGACTAATTACACATATAATCCCCTGATCGATGGGAGTCATTGGACGAACATATAGGAGAGCTCAAGTAGCGAATAAGGGTGCCAGGATGTGCGCAGCTGATACCGATTGCAGGCTAATTAATTAAGTAGAATACCCGAGGCCTAGTAATCACGCACATGTAATAGTTTTTGTACAGTATATAAGGAGGGCAGAACCAGGGAGGACAGACTGAACCAGACCCCAGAAAGTGAGGAGCAATACAGCCCTTGCGCACGGAGTTGAAGTTTAGGCTTGAATCTTTGGCTGTCAAGCAGTCTCAGAATTTAAGTTCAGTTTCGGAATAACATCAGTGGGATTCATAAGTGCTAGTTACGGGGCGTGAGCCATAACAGAGTTTGAGGTGTGAGCCAAGTTAGTGTTTCAAAGGTGTGAGCCATAGTTACAGGGCGTGAGCCAGCAAGTTTGAGGTGTGAGCCAAACAACCGGGTCTAAACAGCCCACCGGATTGATAGTCCACCAAAACAAACCGGTCTAGAGCCATTATATCTGCATAGTTGGGAAACTTAAATCCACATTGGGAACCAACCGATAAATTCAGGTTGTGTCTTGAACGCCACTTCAAGAAACTAGTTGAGACTTAGCCACCCTTGGGGGAACGGGAATTGAATACTTTCGTGACAAATATGTTTACTCGTGGTTTCCTTGGTCCTATACTTGTGTCCAAAAAGACCCGAATCTCGTCAGTGCATCAAGGTCATTAAGGGAGTGTGTTGGTGTTGGAGTCTGTCTATTGTCGGTTTAGTCGTGCTTAATCTCACTTTGTGAGTTAGGTGTAACTCAGTCGTTCGATAAGGGGGATTTTGGCAGTTGCATATTTAGACCATTGAACCTGAGCAACCCTTTCAACGTACGAGAAATCTAAAAAGGCTGAATGCAAGTTCTCAGAGAACCTGTCGATCATGAGAACCAGGAAATGCCTTTTGCTCAGCCTTTTTTGTTGTGTCCAAGTCCAAGATGCACTCAGAACAAATTTGGTGCTTGAGACGTGAGTACAGTCAAAAGAGGAAGTCTATGATATTTTTGTCTTTTGTCCACTTGCTGCCGATGTGTTGGCAGATACCCGTCATCTGGCTGTAGGTAGTTAGATAGGTAGACTAGTACAGGTTAGCAGAGGCCGCGATACGTATGGGGTTTGGATGTTGCCTAGTAGTACTTAATAGGGGTAACTAGGTCACCACGTCTTCAACTTCCAATACACGCCCGCCACAATATTTTCATCACAAGATTTGGATTGAACGCGTCGATCGGGGAGCCGAGTCCTACAGCCGAATTATACACCACCAAGGCGGCATCTTCATCCTATTAAATGACCAGTCAGCAAGGGACAAATATGGAGTCGGGCTACCACCAACAGTAACAGCAAGATGCTGGAGGTGCGAGATGTACCATCGCAATCCACTTCCAGAAGATAAACTTTCCCCAACCACCGGCTCCGTCGTGGGTACACCGTAGTCTAGGATTGTGAAATTGGTGTGTAACATGGGCAAAGGACGCGCTCACCAATCAGTCGCGTATTCTGCCACATAAGGTCGGTTTTGTCAAAGTGTTCCGCGAAGAACTTGGTTGAGAAGTTCGACGGAAGGGTAGTACCAAATGTCGCTCGCAAAACGTTGTGGAGGCCGAGAGCACCTCTAAACGCTTTCGTGCAACCTTCACTGATCACCATCAACTTTTCGCACAAAGGATATGTTAAACCGGAAAGGGAACTCACGAAAATAGTGGGTTCACTGTGTTGACATGAGTGCAATAAATCCCACAAGTGCAGAAATACGTACGGGTCATAACACTGTCTCCTACTGCAACATAATTGGACGGTAGGTTGGTCGCTTGATGGTACCGAATATAGGACGTCGGCGCTGGTTCAATTTATGTCGGCTCGGCATATTACAGACAGGAAAGAGGCAAAAAATACACACCAATTTTTAGATTCGCAACTGCGGCCGAGTCGTTGACCTCTTCCAGCATATCCATAACTTTGAAAACCCAATCTGGAATCAGCTGTACGGTATTCAATCCCGCGACATAAACCTTAAGTTCGGCGAGATTTCTGGGCGGTGGCCGACTAGTTTCATGTTGGCCGACAAACACCAAGACTGTCAACAAATGAGCGAGGGATACCAATGGCGGCCTAGTCAGTACATGTGTTCCCATCTGGCCGGGTCAAAGCAAACAACACACGGCCTTGTTCAACACCATCTTCGAGGAAGGTGTACATGGGCCCGGTGTTCTTGATATCCGGTGGAAGCGGCATACGATCGAGCCAGGCCTGGTTGATACGGAACATCATGGAGGAATAGCGCAGTTTCTGGTCGAACGAGATTTTACACTGGTCCAGTGGTAGCTTTCCGGCTGGGTAAGTGCTAGAAGTCCCATATCCATGTCGTCCAAGCCGGTCCTGTGCAGTCTGAAGAAATGAGGCAAGTTCGGAATCTTATTAGGTACGCGACTTACCTGAAACAAGAACAGCGGGAAACTCCTGTAGTCCGTCCTCCGTCCTCACTACGACCGCGTGCAATCGCGAGTCATCCGCAGGGTCGGGGAGAACATCAGTGACGGTCCCCTTCACCAGTTCGATGTTTGGATAAGACTCGTCAATGACCAGCCGTCTGCTGGGGTTCAAGCATCGAGAACGCAAAGGGGAAATTCGACCAACCTAAGAAGGGTCTCGAATCCCGATCGGGAGACGTACATTGTCTTCGGGAGTTGTGATTTATAAGAGGCGAACGGAATACGGAGCGGAACACCGGAAATGTTGAATCTTGGGTTGGATGGCAGAACTCTTGAACGACATGATGAAGATATAGTGAATATCGGTCAATAATGGTATTCACCTGATGTCGGAAAGACGGCATTCATCTTCAATTTTGGGGAAGAGACTCTTCAGGCCCGCGAACAAATAAGACTGGCAAGCTAACAAATTTGAGCCGGAGCAGCAAATAAATTCGATGACAAAAACACACCATGAAGGGAGTCATATTGCACAACACGTGAACGAGAAAGTGTCTGCTTCCATCCGTCTACTTTCCGGCCCTCCTCAGTTGTAACCCAGGCTTCGGCCTCGACGATGATAACACGTTCAAAGTGATCATGACAAACACGGGCTGTCAATAGTCCCGCAATACTAAGTAGATGATGAGCAATAGGAAGGACTGAGGTAGTCGCGAGGGTACCTTCCACCGCAAATAACTGCGGTTCCCGAGATCTTCTTATCGGGTTGCCGACTCTTCAAAAGTGGAAGATCCCCCAGTCCGATGTGTTTCGCTAGGAGGTGGCGACGCAACAAGTGCCATGAAACCAACAAGACCGAGTAGGCAGCCGGAATGAGAAGGAGAATCTTGGAAATCATTGGAGTGTCGAGATCCGAAGCACCATCTTTTATATGTCACATTTCA